AAACAAAACAGGAGGGGGCACAGTAGATGAGATGCCTCTGACCAGCATTGAGGAACAAGTACAGCTGACGCGCTGTGCGGAGCAAATCACTGGAATTGCAGCTCCAAAATGGCAATGCTGGATAAACGATATGTTTTGATGATCGTTTCCTCGTTCACTCCAAAAATATTCACACGGAGTGAAAAAATGCGTTCTCTGCGTCTCCTTGCTTCATTTCAATGTCTCCTTCTTGCGACAATAACCGCTGCCATGTGTGCGCAATTACGCATACAGACCATTTGCACCTTCTTTTGAAACGTGTTAAATATAGAGTCAGATACCGTTAGCAAAATTGCTTTCAGGTTTGATAAATCACTTTGCGAGTGCTAAATTAATATATTTACATGTTCTCCTCCCACAAGACGCACTTTTGCGTGTAAACGCCCCATATTGCATATTTATAGCAGAAAAAGTACTAAATGGATAAGAGGCGCTATTTAGCGCGTTTTAAAGACCATATCCTTTTAGCACGCTGTTGATAGATCGGTTTGTACATTTTTTAGCGTGCGCAGTGAAATAGCTCACGTTTTTATACACGCAAACCTTTGATAGATCCGGCCCAGTGTGTCTCAGCCCCCCCCCCTTCAGTGTCCACCATATTGGATCAGTCCATTTGTTGCACATGTTCAGAAAGGTCCAAACAGACAGCAGCAAACCATTTGAAAACAAACCATGCAAAGAGCAGTGTTGCCAACTTAGCGCTTTAGTCGCTATATTTAGCCACTTTTCAGACCCCTCTAGCACTTTGATTTCTAAAAAGCTCCTAGCGCCAAATCTAGAGACTTTTTTCTGCTACTGGAGACTTTGGAGACAACATCTAAAAGCAGCGAACTCTGCTCTCCAGAGCGAGTAGATTGGTAACCCCGCCTCCTGCTCTCCTCTATCTTGTCTGCTGTCATGATTCATGCAGCTATTATTTCATCCAAATGAAACATGGAGAACAGATAAGCAGATCATGGCTTGTCTACAGTGAAAAGAAGGACTGGGTTATTTACTTTGGCCTTTTTGGAAACACAGGAAGGAGCAATCAGCTAAGTGAGCTTAGTGCTTGGAAAAAATCTTTCATTCCTTTAGAGACAGCATGAAAAGTCAGCTGAGTACAAAACATAGAGAGGAAAACAAGAAGAAAAGGGACAAGAAGAGAGGGACACAACCTAGAACAGATAATGGATGTCTATTCTATTAACATTTCTACATCTGGAGAATGGGGCTGTCTTTACCTAGGGCCCTAAATTTCCTAAATCCGCCCCTGTGTGCAGGAGCCACAGCTCAGTGGGAAATTGATCAAACTTTCCTGAGTGTAAAGCTGAGTGATGGAGCATCCAGTGACCCACATTTTTCTCCTTTTATTCCATAAAGTTGGTTTATATTTTAGTTTGATTCACATCAAACTTCACAGACCTGGTTCTGCTGTCAAAAGTGACTCCATGTGATTCCTGATCACTTTTAGTGAAATCAGGAGGAAATGATGATAGTGAGGATTGAATGAAGCCATAGAGAGGTTGGTGCTTTCATTTCCTAAACCCACAGCATCTTTAGTTTGACCCACAGGAGCCGTGGATCTCCCCACAGCGCGGCTCTGTCTGTGTGTGTGTGTGTGTGTGTGTTGTGGCCGATAGATTGTTACACAATCGCTTTCAGTTTCCTCGCCCTGCCTGCTTGGTGGCTCCCCGCCCACCGCTGCTCTCCGCCTGCCTGCCTGACTGACTGCTGGGCGGACTGGGCCAGATCAGCCGACCAGTTCCGCCTTCTGTTCACCCAGCAGGGCTCAGGGGGAGCGGGACGGCGGGTTACGTCATGGTGGACATTCTGCTGGAGGTGAGGAGGTGTTTTTATTTCCTGATCGTTTCTTATCAAATTCATCCTCTGACGTCGCTGCGTTCCGGACAAACTTTGACGCTGCTGCCCCCCCCCCTCTTTCTCCCCGCATCCCTGCGTTGACGCGCACACGCGCACCGTCACGCGTCCGCGCGAATCAAGCTGTTACGGTTCCGTTTCAAAGGCTGTGACGTCAGCCGCCGTAACTTTAAGTCCGTACGAGCGGCGCGCGCGAGTCTACGCGCCCGTGCGGCGGCGGAGATCCCGTGAAGGGCCAGTCACGCGCGCGCGCACATGTCGCATGTGTGTCACCGTAGCGCGCGCAGGCTGCTGATGTTGTTTTGACACAGGTGACGTAGAGCGTGTGACGCGCCTGAACGATGAGATAAGCAGTTCCACTCCGTGTGCGTGTCCGAAAGCAGGCGCGCGCGATCCGGGCGCCTTATTTCTGACGCAGACTAAAGAGGATTCAGTGAGCGGCGCAGGGTTTATAGGTGAGCCGCAGAGGGTCAAACTGGATGGATCCAGCTCCGCGGGGGGGAGCGGCGCCGCGCGCGCACACCTGAGCGACACGCAGCGGGGACAGCGCGTGCACGGCAGCGACACCTGACAGGAAAAGTAGGACTCCGCTTGAATCTGTCCTGAGGCTCACATTCACTGAAATATACTGACACAGGTGGCTCCTGATTGGAGAGCCGCGCGATGACACAAGCTGACGTCATCAACGAACAGGTGAAAAGTTTCAGGGCGCCTCAATGGATAAGTTTGGCTTTTTAACCCCCTTTAGTTCCCCAGATGTCCATTAGATTTGCTATTTTTAAAATATATTTATCATTAAACACATGGGACTGATCTGTGAAGACTTTTCTCTGTGATCTTTATTTTTCTCTCTCCTTTATTTATTTAGGTTTGTCCAATTTTGTATTTATGGGACATAAACTATTATATCCAGATGAAAACTAATACAATCATGTCTTTATTTCTATGTGATCAATTCTAGATATAAATATCTAGAGGCACCAGTTTGGCTGCTTAACTGAAATCATATTGAACATGTTTTTCTATTCATTAAGCATTTTTTTCAACGAGGGAGGCCATGATGGATGCATAAAAACTGCTGAGTAACATACCAAAGAAAATCCATCCATTTATCATCCATCCATTTATCATCCATCCATTTATCATCCATCCATCCATCCATCCATTTATCATCCATCCATTTATCATCCATCCATTTATCATCCATCCATCCATCCATCCATCTCATCCATCCATCCATCCATCCATCCATCTCATCCATCCATCCATCCATCCATCCATCTCATCCATCCATCCATCCATCCATCCATCCATCCATCCATCCATCCATCCATCTCATCCATCCATCCATCCATCCACCATCCATCCATCCATCCATTTATCATCCATCCATCCATCCATCCATCCATTTATCATCCATCCATCCATCCATCCATCCATCCATTTATCATCCATCCATCCATCCATCCATCCATCCACCATCCATCCATCCATCCATCCATTTATCATCCATCCATCCATTCATTTATCATCCATCCATCCATCCATCCATCCATTTATCATCCATCCATCCATCCATCCATTTATCATCCATCCATCCATCCATCCATCCATCCATCCATCTCATCCATCCATCCATCCATCCATCCATCCATCCATCCATCCATCCATCCATCCATCCATCTCATCCATCCATCCATCCATCCACCATCCATCCATCCATCCATTTATCATCCATCCATCCATCCATCCATCCATTTATCATCCATCCATCCATCCATCCATTTATCATCCATCCATCCATCCATCCATCCACCATCCATCCATCCATCCATCCATTTATCATCCATCCATTTATCATCCATCCATCCATTCATTTATCATCCATCCATCCATCCATCCATCCATTTATCATCCATCCATCCATCCATCCATCCATCCATCCATTTATCATCCATCCATCCATCCATCCATCCATCCATCCATTTATCATCCATCCATCCATCCATCCACCATCCATCCATCCATCCATCCATTTATCATCCATCCATCCATCCATTTATCATCCATCCATCCATCCATCCATCCATCCATTTATCATCCATCCATCCATCCATCCATCCACCATCCATCCATCCATCCATCCATTTATCATCCATCCATCCATTCATTTATCATCCATCCATCCATCCATCCATCCATTTATCATCCATCCATCCATCCATCCATCCATCCATCCATCCATCCATCTCATCCATCCATCCATCCATCCATCCATCTCATCCATCCATCCATCCATCCATCCATCCATCCATCTCATCCATCCATCCATCCATCCACCATCCATCCATCCATCCATTTATCATCCATCCATCCATCCATCCATCCATTTATCATCCATCCATCCATCCATCCATTTATCATCCATCCATCCATCCATCCATCCATCCACCATCCATCCATCCATCCATCCATTTATCATCCATCCATCCATCCATTTATCATCCATCCATCCATTCATTTATCATCCATCCATCCATCCATCCATCCATCCATTTATCATCCATCCATCCATCCATCCATCCATCCATCCATCCATCCATCCATCCATCCATTTATGGTTAACTTTTCTGTCTTTTCTCTGAGTTGGATCATAATTGTCTTCATTTTCTCCTCCTCAGGTGAGATCATTCAGAGGTTAAAGGTCGTCAGCATCACCTCTTCCCGCCGACGCTGGACTAAGGCTCCTCATTGGCTCACCTTTGACCCCTCTCAGATTGAAAATGTCTCTGTGGCTGAGAGGTGAAGGAATCGCTGACGTAGTTTCACCCACTGAGGATCTGTGGAATGTGCTTCTGTGAGAGAAAAGGCTTTTAATCTGTAGTTGGGTGACCATGGAGTAACAGCTGAGTGGGATTTTCCTGAAGAGGACTGTTTCCAGACGTTAATCCAATAATGGAGCAGGATTTCATACAGTAGGACCTCAGACCGCCCAGTGCTGCTGTATCCCACCCCTTCACAGCTGCTCTTTCATTTCTGAAACTGTTGATGGACCTGCGGGCCTCCTAAAGCTCAGAGGAGACCCACGCTTCCTCTTTGCTTCCAAAGTCTTTCTACTCCCCCCCCATAAACACAAACTACAAACATGGCCGCCACAGGACGGAGGCACCTGGTGAAAGATTTCAACCACTTCATCACCTGCTACCTGTGCCGAGGTTACCTGATCAAACCCACCACAGTCACTGAGTGCCTGCACACCTGTGAGTAAACTCCACCCACACCACACCTTTATAGAGGCAGGAACACCCAGACAGGTGGAGAACAGACACTAATGACGCTCTAAAGTTACGACTCTTTCCCACTGATGTCAAGAGTAAACTTTACTCCAAAAGGAGGCCTTTCTTTTCTTCTCTCACACTGCGTAGACACCTTTTATATTAGGACCCTCGGCCATTTTCAAAGACCACAGAGATACGGCTGAAAGATGGCTAACGATGCGAGCACGTAGGACGGCCTTACATGGGCGCAGGTTTGCATAGGGACCATAGGGACATGTCCCTACCAACATTTTGGACGACCTTCTTGTCCCTACTGATGATTGGATGTGAACAACATGATTATAATTTAATATACAGCAGTAATTGTTGCAGCAGTGGCTTCTTTTCCTCTTGTAGCTGCAGCTGCCTCGTCTTCCTGTAACTTTGACATAGCAGCGCATCAACTGTGCTGCGCTGTTTAACTCTCTGACTTTTCTGCCTTAAGTTCCTTCTTCTCTCTTATTGCTTGTTTTCTAGTCTGTATGTGTGCGCGTGCTTGGAGCGTTAAATAGAAATAAAAAAAATGATGCTAGAATACAGCGGTTACCAAAATTAGTATTAGGCTATGAAACTAGTCCCAATTGAAAAACTGAATATTATTCAGGCTAAAACAGGCGAAAGCTTCTGATTGCACTTCTGTAAAGAAACAGGAGAGTTTGGATTTGATTAATCTAAATGTAAATAACCAACATTAGGATTTCTTTTCTAAAACTAAATACAGGTGCTGGTCATAAAATTAGAATATCATGAAAAAGTAGATTGATTTCAGTAATTCCATTTAAAAAGTGAAACTTGTATATTATATTCATACATTACATACAAACTCATATATTTCAGATGTTTATTTTGTTTAATTTTGATGATTACAAATGACAACAAATGAAAATCTCAAATTCATCATATCAGAAAATTAGAATATTGTGAAAAGGTTCAAAATTGATGGCCCCTGGTGCCACACTCTAATCAGCTAATTAACTCAAACCACCTGCAAAAGCCTTTAAATGGTCTTTCAGTCTAGTTCTATAGGCTACACAATCATGGGGAAGACTGCTGACTTGACAGTTGTCCAAAAGACGACCATCGACACCTTGCACAAGGAGGGCAAGACACAAAAGGTCATCGCTAAAGAGGCTGGCTGTTCACAGAGCTCAGTGTCCAAGCACATTAATAGAGAGGCGAAGGGAAGGAAAAGATGTGGTCGAAAAAAGTGTACAAGCAAGAGAGATAACCGCACCCTGGAGAGGATTGTGAAACAAAACCCCTTCAAAAATGTGGGGGAGATTCACAAAGAGTGGACTGCAGCTGGAGTGAGTGCTTCAAGAACCACCACACACAGACGTATGAAAGACATGGGTTTCTGCTGTCGCATTCCTTGTGTCAAGCCACTCTTGAACCACAGACAGCGTCAGAAGCGTCTAAAGAGAAACAGGACTGGACTGCTGGTGAGTGGTCCAAAGTCATGTTCTCTGATGAAAGTAAATTTTGCATTTCCTTTGGAAATCAAGGTCCCAGAGTCTGGAGGAAAAGAAGAGAGGCACTTCATCCACGTTGCTTGAAGTCCAGTGTAAAGTTTCCACAGTCAGTGATGGTTTGGGGTGCCATGTCATCTGCTGGTGTTGGTCCATTGTGTTTTCTGAGGTCCAGGGTCAACGCAGCCACATACCAGGAAGTTTTAGAGCACTTCATGCTTCCTGCAGCTGACCAACTTTTTGGAGATGCAGATTTCATTTTCCAACAGGACTTGGCACCTGCACACAGTGCCAAAGCTACCAGTACCTGGTTGAAGGACCATGGTATCCCTGTTCTTAATTGGCCAGCAAACTCTCCTGACCTTAACCCCATAGAAAATCTATGGGGTATTGTGAAGAAGAAGATGCAATACACCAGACCCAACAATTCAGAAGAGCTAAAAGCCACTATTAGAGCAACCTGGGCTATCATAACACCTGAGCAGTGCCACAGACTGATCGACTCCATGCCACGCCGCATTGCTGCAGTAATACAGGCCAAAGGAGGCCCAACTAAATACTGAGTGCTGTACATGCTCATACTTTTCATGTTCATACTTTTCAGTTGGCCAACATTTCTATAAATCCTTTGTTTTTATTGGTCTTCAGTAATATTCTAATTTTCTGATATGATGAATTTGAGATTTTCATTTGTTGTCATTTGTAATCATCAAAATTAAACAAAATAAACATCTGAAATATATGAGTTTGTATGTAATGTATGAATATAATATACAAGTTTCACTTTTTAAATGGAATTACTGAAATCAATCTACTTTTTCATGATATTCTAATTTTATGACCAGCACCTGTATTGTAGTTGCAGAACATAACAACACGAGAAGGATGCCGAAGATCTGCTAGTTTTTGTTTTCCACATAAAAAATAGTGCTTTCTAATTTACTTCTACTTCTAGAAATAGGATAAAGACAAGCCGAAGAATTCTATTTACAGTGATTCTATTTTTCTAGATTTCCACACGGTCCATGAGTAAATTAGTTCAAACATTAATGTCTGGTAAATATGGAAGAGGATTAGGGCCACTGAAAAAAAAAAAGTGAACCGAATTTTTTAATTTTATTTCAGTTTAACATGACTTTAATCTCAGAATTCTGACTGAATTCTGACAATAAAAAAAGTCAGAATTCTGACTTTTTTTCTAAGAATTCTGACTTTTTTTCCCATACTAAACTGAAATAAAATTTAAAAATCAGTTTTTTTTTCCCTTGGCCCTAATCCTCTTCCGTAATAAGGCAAGCAGCATCGATATTTTATTTCTTTAATAAACGTAGACTGCCTCCAGAAAGACAAGGTTTGGTTCTTTGATTTCTGATCCGCTATGATCTGTTGTCTGAGGAAGTGCTTAGAAGAAGGAAACCAGTGAGGACTGGTCTTTCATTGGGACCCTTTTAAGGATTTTAGGGGACAGTTGTTGGAGGATTTTCAAACAGTCAGTCCAGAGCAGTTCATGTTCTCAATCTTTCCTTTAATCCTTCTCTCTCATGAGACGGTGGTTTGCGTCTGAATCTAATGCGACGTGTTGGTTCTTGCAGTCTGTAAGAGCTGCATCGTGCAGCACTTTGAGGAGAGCAACGACTGTCCTAAATGTGGCATTCAGGTCCACGAGACCAACCCACTGGAGATGCTCCGGTAAGATTCCTCTCTGCTTCATTCTCTGGTTTCCCTGAAGTCCGTCCTTTAATTAGACTTATTATACAACCCCCCCACCTGTCTGTCTGTCCCCCACCATCGTCCTCTGGGTCTCAGGTTGGACAACACCCTGGAGGAGATCATCTTCAAGCTGGTGCCTGGCCTCAGAGAAAGTGAGTCTACCGGATGTGTCCATCCGTCTGTCTGCGGAGGGTCAGGAATGATGGAGGAAGTCCACCTCAGAATAACGATGACGTCTCTCTTTCTAGACCAGACGTCCCCAAACGTTTCAGCCTGTAATCCCAAACATAATCCAACAGTTATCCCTCTGAAACCACGTCTTGGCTCTTTATTCATTTACACATTTTAAGTAAAGTAATTATATGTCATATTTATAGAAAAAACATTTTAAATAACTCCTTAACTCCTTTATTGTTGGTTTCTAGTTTCTAAAGGATGCCTTCAATGGATTCTTCTTCTACTGTCGCTTTAAGAGATGCTGAGTTTCTGTGAAGAGCTTTACTGTTTCTGCTCCTCTGAAGTGTTTCTTTGAACACTTTTGTCGCCGGTGGCGTCATTTAAATGTTTGCTTTGATCTGTTGTTCCTGCTAGAAGAGGAACAGGAAGAAGTGGAGTTCTGGAAGAAGAACCAGCCGAGGGAGAACGGCCAAGGTGAGCTGGATCCACGCTGATGGTGGCGCCGGGTTCAGAGGCGCTCCGAAAACTTCTCACCCAATCCTCTGCGTTCCAGAGAACCTGAAGTATCAGCGGCCCTGGCTCCCCGAGGGCGCCGCCGCTGGGGGGGGCGGCGCTGATGATGACGGTGATGGCGGTGAAGAAGGAGACTACCACAGGAGCGACCCTCAGATAGCCATCTGTCTGGACTGCCTGCACAACACGGGGCAGTCAGGGGAGAGCACCGTGACGGTGAGAGGGGTTCGGTTTCTGGGTCTGTGCTCGCAGCGTTTTGGATCCGCCGTCTAACCGATGTGTTTTCTGTCCCATCAGGATCTGATGAAGAGGTTCATCCGCTGCTCCAGCCGCGTCACCGTGGGAACCATCAAGAAGTTTCTCAGTCTTAAACTGAAGCTGCCGAGCTCTTATGAGGTCATTAAAGAAACCAGAGAAGATCGATTTCAGGGTTTTATTCTATTTTACTAACAAACAGATTAACAGATGTTAAGAGTTTAACTTCAGCAAATTATTACCCCATTTACTCTACCCTTGAAAACCCGATCCGAACTAGGATCAGTTAACCAGGCCCAGCTCGGTTGTGACGACCGTTTACACATCACGCTATCTCGGTTCCTCGCCTCCTAGTGACGATCTGCGGTATTACTGCCAGTATTGAAGGAGGAAATCAAGCAGTTGGTGGCGGTAATGCACCAACAGTTGTTTGCCAACCGCCATAAAACACAAGAAGAAGAAGACGAAGAAGGAGGGAATCAAGCAAATCAAAATGGCGACGCCCGTCTCATTCAGAAAGTTATGCTTGATTATTATTACTGTGCTTCAGTGTTATTATTTAAAATGTTGCGTGGAGAAGATTTCGATTGTTGTTTATAGTTGAAGAAGTCGTTCTTCTTCTTCTGTTTCTGGAGGGGCATTACCGCCACCTACTGGAACAGAGTGTGAATCACGATGTGCAGCCAGACGGAGATGACGCGTTCTGCTCATGCGCTCTTGTTATCAGAGAACCGAGCCAGGGAAAAACCGAGCCGATCCCACCTCTGGAACTGGTCTGCAGTTAGCGCGGTCCGGTTGTGTCTAGCTCGGTTCGGTTCAGTTTGCTTTCCATTTACACACCATAAGTTATCTCAGTTACTGAGCTCGGACCGGTCTCGTACCGGTTTTTCAAGAGTAGTGTAAATATGAAGATTCAAACCATTTAAAAGGAAAGATTTTGAGCCTGAAGTGCTCATTCTTACTAATTGGCAACCTTAATTAAGCTGGTGAAGGTTCTCAGTCATCCAGGTCATAGTCAATCCAAAAAGTTAAAAACAATCCACTGGACTTTGTTTCGAAGTTTGAAGACGTTTCGCTTCAAATACAGCAAGCTTTTTCGATTCAAATGTCAGAAATAACGTTGACTTCGAGGCTTTTTATATTTGGAATTGGGGTCTAAATGGGTGGACCCATTCCTCGGGTCTATTTTGCATGTTTTCTAAGCTTTACTTTTGGCCCACTCTTTAAAGCCTGGAACTCAACGTTATTTCTGACATTTTGAATTGAAAAGCTTCCTGGATGGGAAGCCAAACGTCTTCAAACTTGGAAACAAAGTCCAGTTGATTGTTTTTAAACTGTTATGGAACCCTAATAAAGGCCTTTAACTTCAGTTAGCTGTTTGGGCTAAGAGATGCAGAAATGTTAGTCTAGAAAATAACGGCTGTTTAAAACAGAAACGTCATTTATTGTTTTCTGAAATGCTCTTGAGTTCCACTTAACCTGAGCTTTATCGTGGGGTAAGTAGTAAACGCCTTCTTTCCATTAACTCAATCATTATTTCATGGAGCTTCCAGGTTACCATCTAGATCAGGGGTCGGCAACCCAAACTGTTCAAAAAGCCATTTTGGACCAAAAAACCAAATCTGTCTGGAGCTGCAAAAAATGTAAAAGTCTTCTATAAACCTAATGGTATTGGCCCACTATAAAAAATGACTTCTGTAGTAGCCATTCAAAATGTCCTCCCTTTTCTTGATGGGCCCTTGGCCGGTTTAAACATCAATCTTTGTACTAAAATATTCTTTCTGTCATGATTTATAGAGATTAAGATCTAAAGAGAAGCATCACCTCCTGTAATTCCCTATAATTCAGTGAAAGGGTGGCGTTAGAGTAAAAAAATATGCAATATATGGCTGGAAACTGGGGGGATTTCTCTGGGAGTTGGAGGGAAGCGGGCTGCTATTCAGCTGCCGTTTAACTGGGAACGGCCATTTTTAATGGCTGCTACTGTAAGTGGGCTTAAATATTTTGTGTTATCGGAGCATATTTCACATCATCTGACTACTCTGCTGTACGATATTTGGTGTTTTAAGTTCCATCACAATATTAATTTATTAGGTTTGGTTGCATTGATGAAATTATAGAAACACAGTAAAGAAATCAGATTTGTTATTATTTTCATTTTGAAGTTTTTGTGGGAAAACTGGAAGAAAGTTCTCATCCCTGCATCAGAGCACTACCTGTTCAATCTATGAATGGTTTTCTATGCTTGCAACCAAACTAGCAGTAAAGTAGTAAAGTTTGGAGATGCAATCTACTCCTTAAATCTATCTTTGCTCTCCTGTAATTTATCCAGAAGTTCTGCAATCGCACATTTTCTCTCCCTTTCAGCTCGATGATCGGCTGCATATGTAGCCTTCCATGGAAAGGCCTTTCCTATTGACTCTTTTTATTATTTGACAACTTCTCATTGCAAATCAAACATGCAGGCAACCCTTCCTCATTGGATAATGATAATGAAAGCAAATTGTCAGGTCTAAGCACCTAAAACATCATACATCCATACAGGGAAAGAAAGAAGGCACAGAGACAATTAATTTAGTTACTGGCGAGGAGAGTAGGAAGAAACTGCAGAGTTTACAATCTCCACCCCACTCTGCAGTCTTTAGCTTTCTGATCACCATTTATTGAAGAAAAGGGGATGTCCCTAATTACACCAGCTGAGGTTTAACTAAAGGAAAAGGGAAACAAAAGGATCTTACTTTAAACCTCAGCACATATGTTAAAACAAAGCATGTGGTTGTTTTACTATTGAATTGTTCCAAGAACACATGTTTAGAAGAAACATGTGATAGAGGATGTTCAGGCCTCTTTCACAACCCGTCCGTTGCATGACCTTTATCTGGAACGATCTTAAGCAAGAGTTAATAAAAGATGAATCACACATTATACATCATAGTAGTTCATTAGAACACAACCCATGAAACATAAACGGAGTATAAATAAAATATTTCTAACACAAATGATTCGCTCTATTCTGCTTTGAATCCTTTGTTCTCATCAGCTATCTTCCTTTTTTTCCCTGTGGCTAAAGACACACCCGCTGCTATACAGCAGCCACCTGCCTGGCACCGCGCCGCGCTGAAACGTCTGTCGCAGGCTATGATGCAAACCTTTGTTTACGTTTATTGTTTATCTGTTTTATTTATTATTTATCTGTTTAGCATTGGAATCTTAATGAATATTTGTTTGACCTCCTGCACACCATATTCAAACAAACAAACCCCCCAAAAAATCCATCTTTTTTCCATTTTCATACATTTTTGAAAAAGCTCCAGGGAAACAAGGGAGACATTAAAGAGAAGCATGTGGCCCTGGAGCCGCTGGTTGCCGACCCCTGTCCTAGAGCCCACGCAGTACTTCCTAGAACTTTGCTAACAGTAGCCTACATAAGTTAAATTGTGGTGCGTACAACTAACATACAGGATTTACTGATTATTCTAGTAGAACCACCACAATACTTTCTGAATGTTACATTTTAAAAGTGACTACAGAAGATACTTTCCTTTAGCTTTCAGGTTATTCTTCTGGAAGTTCCCAGAACAAGTAAGGTACTTTTCCAGAAGTATCTTTCTACTATTCTGGAGTTTATGCTGTAAAAGGAGGTTGACTCGTCGCTCAGGAGTATCTTTTAACCTGCAGGCAAACAACCTCTGACCCTTTAAGTTCCAGAGAAGTAACAGGTTACCTCACCATGCAGCTTCCTGAGTTCCTAAAAGTAGCCTGTAAGTTCTAGATGCTAACCTATAAATAATTGTAAGACACTCAATTTAAAGAAGGTGACCCTTCTTTTCCAGGAAGCAGGCAGAAACTAAACTCTAAGTTATGAATAATCAGGGGCTGGACTGAGCTGTGGTGCCAGTAAGTCAGCCATGGTTCTGTGTGATATGTCAGGTCATGTGACTCAGTGATTTCAATCACATCTGAAAGCAGGGCAACTCCTGCTTTCACACGTCTAACATATTCAGAGCAGCCTCCCACTCATCACCTAAACTAATTTCCCCTCTCCTCATCTTTGTGTCGTTATTATTCAACCTGCAAACATCTTTTCTCTCAGATTCAAACTGATATCCATCCTTCTGGTTCGATCTTCCAGCTGGACGTTCTGTGTAACGGGGAGATCATGGGCAGAGATCACACTCTAGAGTTCATCTACATGACTCGGTGGAGGCTGCACGGGGAGAACGTAAGGCATTCTCCTTCACTTCCTGTTCCGCTGAGTGCGTGTGCATGCTTGTGTATGAATGCATCCGTGCAGAAGGGCTGCGCATGTGTGCAGCTTGGATGCCGATGTTGCAGCAGTTCCCTTTTTTCATATTTCCTCATATTGCAGTTTGATTTAGAGGCTTTCAGTGAAAGTTTGTGGTGACGCCGGCGGAAGTTAACGATTGGCTGCGGAGTTGCTTCTGTGTTCAGTGTCACAGCAGCTTCCGCAGGAAGAACGGTTTGATTCCAGGTGTTAATCTAGAGAAAGATACTTTCCATTTCTACAGATTATACAGGCCCGGTTCTACAGATTATACAGGACCGGTTCCACCCTAACAACTACTAGCTTGAAGTCCACTACGTTGTGCTTAGATGTAAAACATCAGATTTTTTTCTAAGCAGAGTGGTTCCCAGTGCTAAACGAGGGCTGGCTGAACCGTAACCAGTTTGTTTGATTGGCTGGTTCTCTAAGCTGGTGCTGACGGAGCAGTTAGCATAAACTGATGCTTCTTAATGAACAGAAAGTAGCACCGTATGCTGATGATACCTGACTATCTGGATAAATCCATAGAGATGTTACCGACACCAAAATTACTTTGGTGGAATGGTGGAATAAAGAGAAAATCCTTTATTGTTACCGACAACAAAATAAAAAAAGCTACGCTCTAGCCTAGCTTCACTATGGAGTTCTTGAGGAGCCTTTTAGCTGCGTTAAAGAATCAGAATCAGTCATTAAAAAACAAACCACTGGACTTTTTTTCCAGGTTTGAAGACGTTTTACTTCCCATCCAGGAACGGGGTGGACCTGTTCTTTCCGTTGCAGTTTGCATGTTTTCAAAAACAAAAACAAGGGCTTGTTTAGCTACTGTATAAAGCCCCGAACTTCACGCTATTCCTGACATTTTTAATTGAAAAAGCAAAACGTTTTCAAGCTTGGAAACAAAGTCCGGTGGATTGTTTTTTAAACTTTTTTTGGAATTAAACTGAGGAGGTAATTGAGACACCCTGCCAATGGAACAAGATAATTTACATATATAGTAAATTAAAAAATAGCTGCATCGTCTTATTTCAAGTGCATATTACCTAATTATATTATTTCAAGAGTAAAAAAACTAATTCCATTGGCAAATCATCTTATTTAACTGCTCATATTAAGGCTAAATACACTTAATTTAAGAATTTTTAAACTTATTTCTAGATCATTGTTTTGCAGTGCTGAACCGTTTCTCTGTCTGGTTTTAATTTAAAACCACATGAGGCCCAGAAATGTGAGGTTTGATAGAAATTAGCTGAGGACCCAAATCCAATTCAGTTTATTTCTGTAGTGCCAATTAGCAACACATCTCATCTCAAGGCAATTTACAGTTAACCAGATTATCCAGTTAGATTGATTCAAAGCCAACTCCCATGTCAGAGGATGAAGAGAGCACATCCAGTTAGTCACAGTCAGAGAAACAGGACTACACTGGAAAACAGGCCAAGCTCCAACATGTAGAAACAAAGGTGTTGATGGCAGTGAGAGACTAACGGTAGAGATTGAACTAACTAGAAATGCAGAGATGATTTCTTGCAGATTGAATTTAGATGTAGATGTAACAGAGGCACAAATCCATGAATAATAAACAGGTAACCAAAACTAGGAGACGTCAGGAAGGTGGAGAAACATACATGAGGAGTGAAGTAATGGAGAGAATCCAGCAATTAGGAACTACACAGCAGGTGTATACATGGGACAGAACAAAGAATGGGCTAATTAGCTAATAGTGAGCAGATGTGGATAGAAGTAACTAGAAGGGAGCTAGGGAAGAGCAGACTGGCACAAGAGGGCGACAGAGAGTAACTCAAAAATTACAACACTGTTTAAATATAACTAGAAAACAACTAGAATGACACAAAATGGAAAATAAACCAATTACCAAAAAAACAAAACAAAACAGAATGACATAAATCAAAGTGTCGCTGAAAACTCAGAAAGAAACTTTAACTAGAAAGTCCTCAAATGGCAGAATCCCGACATGGAATCCAGGAACAGGATTCATGACTAGAATAAAACAATCTTCTGATTGAGGTTCATTTAGGTCTGAATGTTTCAGCAAAGGTTCTGGTATTTGGGGTTCCTACAGTTTAAAAAAGTATTAGAAACTATTTTCTAAACTTTATTCTCTTTGTAACCTTGTCTGTCTGTAGTTAAAACGAAACGTATCCCAGAACGTTTGCTACTGGTAGAAGGAGGACGGGGCTTAAGAAGAGCTGAATCCAGAGAAAAACTGTAGAAACCTGAAGCTTAACTATGGATCAGAACCAATAGAAACAATAGATGTTTGGAATGAGGGTCTGAAGACATGAGTGCCGGAGCAAAAACCTTTGCCCTATATTGTTTATCTGTGAGTAGAGAGTTTAACATGTCCAGGCGTGGTTGAAACTCCCCTGCTTGTGGACAGTAGGGAAGCAGTTTTAGCGACGGAGCTCATCCAGCAGATCCTGAGTCAGAGGCAGCTGTGCTCACATGAGCTCACATCTGTTACATAACTTCCAAAAAATGGAGGCCGCTCCTCAGATCCAGGGAAGATCTGTCACTCAGGGAGCTTTTCTGCTGCAGGAAGGTGGGAGGGAGAAGGTAAAGAACCGTTATTACCCTTCAGCCTCATTATTCAGGCCCAGAATAACAAATTAGAAACAGAGCTTTACTCCAGTGATCAGCTGCTCTAACGAACCTTGTTGGAGTCCAGTAACGTAGAATATAAGAAAAGAAAGAAAAACAGCATTTAATGCATGGAAACCTGAAGGAGCAGCAGCCAGTTTCTGACTAGGCTGCATAGTTCACCATCCAGAGGCTCTTATGGGTCGAAACACTTCAGTAACCATAATGAACGATTATTTTACAAATGAATTTATCTTTTGATTAATCAATTAATAATTGGATAATCAAATGTTCCTTAAAGAATTTTTTTTAATTAAAACTTTTTCACGTGTGTAGTTCTGGATAGAGCCAATTGACAGAAAAGGTGTTTTTTTTTATCTTTAATGCAAAATGTTTACATTTCATTTTCTCTGTCAGCTAGAGACGTGTTTTATAGTCTCCATACTTATCCATCAATCACTAACATAGTTGACAATTATATATATATATATATATATATATATATATATATATAGGTTTAAAGTTAAAAGCCTTGCAGGGCAGCCTAAAGCCCACTGCCAACATTAAGACAGAAAAAAGAAAGAAAATAACAAACCATCAGTTCAGGGGTTTGAGAAAATATGGGAATCAGGACATTCTCTATAAACCAAACTGAACGATTGTTGTTCTCTACTTCAGAAAACACTTTAGATTTTAAAATAGAATAATATATTTATTTTAATGTTTTTTCAGTGTTAAATTCTGTTTAAAGTATCAGATTATAATTAAAAATGTCTCTGGATCTTTACTGGTTGATTATTTTCTTTATTCGGACCCTGCTGGTTTTAATCGGTTACCCCTGACCTAGTGATTAGCAAAGACCCTTAACCTCCTTTTGCTCTCCAGGCGCTGCACAATGGGAGCCCACTGCTAAATTTCTCCAAAGTTAGATCAATAAATTTCAATTATAGTATTATTTATTTCCCTTTAGATTGAATTTCTCAGGTTCAGCGTCTTATTATATAAATTAAAGGTTTAGCATCATTTTATCAGATGTTATTGTGGCTGAAATGGGAAAATCTAAGAGAATAAAGCTCTTTCAGACCAAGAAAATGTTCATAGAGAAGCAAACCGATGACGTCTTTATGCATCAGATGTGAAGCATTTGGACCCAGAAGGTTAAGCGAAGCAAACGTCTGCGATCCGGAGGCTCCGTGGCGCTCGGCTGGGGTTAGACTGGGTTCTGTTTCCTCAGAGGAATGACGCAGCAGAATGCAGGGGGCACGGGAGCAGCTGTGTGCTGCTGCACCAACAGCCCCGAGCTGCCAGGAACCGGAGAGGCTCTCCTCTCTGCTGCTGCTTTGTCATAAACAGTTTGCATCGATTTCAGACGGCTTCATGGTGCAGCTGAAGAGATGTTCCTCCTAACAATCACTTCTCACCCGTTCCTTTCATTTAAACACCTCTTCAGCTTTTCCCTACAGGAGGAGCCTGATCTTCTGCATCTTCCCCCCCTGGTCTCTTTCTTCGTCCCTCCTGTCCAAACCATCTCAGTTTGTCTCAAAACTTTAGCTGTAAAGAATTAACATCATGTTTTCTAACAAGTTGAACTCTTTCTGGAAGCACTACTCTCCCCACCGCAGATCCTCCATCCTGGAAACCTTCTCTCACTCTTGAAGTTCTTCATAATCACTGCAAAAAAAAATGAAATCTAATTGTTTTTATTGTTTGTTTTTTAAACTTTTACGGAAAGAAATCTGAAAAGTACTTTTTTACTTAAAATAAGTGCATTTTTGCTTGAATATTAGGGGTAAGTGAGACACTTTGCCAATGGAGACAAGACAAGCCTAACATTTGAAGCATGGATAAACTTTTGCATTGTCTTATTTCTATTGAATATTATCTAATTCTCACATTTTAAAAGTAAAACTATTCATTCCATTGGCAATTGATCTTATTTAACAGCTAAAATTAATGGTAAATTCACTTCATTTAAGACATTTTTACTTATTTCTAGATAGCAGTGATGAAGTTATGGAAGGATTAGATATGTTTGTGTTGTTAAAATATGTTATAGTGAAATTGGAATTTGTTCCCTCAGTGTCGATTGTTAGGTCTGGACTTGGACTAGGCCGTTCACTGCAAAAAATGTAAATCCCAATAAGTCATTTTTTCTTAAAGTAAGTGCTTTTTCTCTTGAATTGAGGAGGTAAATGCCAATAAAACAAGACAATTTACATTTAAAATAAGAAAACATTATTGCATTGTCTTATTTCAAGAGCATTTTATCTAATTATCTTATTTTAAGAGTAAAAATACTCATTCCATTGGCAAACTATCTCATTTACCTACTTAAATTACAGCTGAAAACACTTAATTTTCGACATTTTTACTTATTTCTTGATTGTTTTTGTAGTGTTCTAACATGTTGCACTGGAAAAATGATTTAGAAATAATTAAAAATGTCTTAAACGACGTGTGTTTATCCTTAATTTGAATAGGTTAATGCAATAGTTTACCAATGGAATGAGTATTTTTACTCTTAAAATAAGATAATTAGATAAAATGCACTTGAAATAAGACAATGCAATTATGTTTTCTTATTTTAAGTGTAAATTATGTTGTAAAAATGTCTCTTTTATCTCCTCAATCTAAGAACAAATGCACTTATTTCCACACTGGAAGAAATTGAAATCTAGTGAAGTCATTTTTTCTTAAAATGAGTCTCAGGCTGGAAGGTGAACCTCCTCTCCAGTCGTCTGCAGACTAATAGCTTTTCTTCCAGGGTTGGTCTGGATTAAACTCGTCCATCTTCCATTACCTATGACCAGCTTTCCTGTCTCTGCTGATACAGAGCAGATGCTGCTGGCTAGGTAGTGACCCGTCCTGCAAACAGGAAGCCTGGGTTCGTTACCAGCGGGGGGGAATGAGCTGTCGGTATGGGTCCTTCTCTGTGGGGAGGGGCGGCCTCGTGGTTAGGGTATTGCTCCTGCAATCCTGAGGTTCTGAGTTCAAGCTTCACTCCCATGGAGTGGCACCAAAAAACGCTGAAAAAAAGAACATGACACTGCCACCACCGTGTTTGGCTGTGTGTTAGGTTTCCTCTACAGGCCTCGCTTCATTTCACCTTCAGAGGCCTCCTGTCCCTTCTCGCCGTGTCTCCTCACTGGTTTGCTGTAAACTGCAGGACTGGTTTTCTTTCATCAGCTACTTTTTCCTGCTACTCTTCCATAGAGATGCATTTGATGGGCGTCCATGTCTTTGTATGTCTGCAGTCCGTCCGTCCTCTCTCCACGTTCAGCAGACGGTTGAACGCAGCTTTGGGAGTCTAGAAACAGAGCAGCTGCAGTTAGACTCAGATGAAACGACAAACAGCTGGACTCCGGTTGCTGACTGACTGTTTCTCAGGAAAGTTGGTTGATCTCTAAAAGTATCAGATTTAAAGACTGACTGAAAACGGAGGAAAAAATCAGTTCTGCTCTGACAGATGAGATCTCAGTGAATGTCGGAGATTGCTGTTCACGCAACACCTGCTAATCTAAACCCCTGTCCAGATTTAGCGTTATGGTCCAATGATTCCTAGAAGCGGTCGGCTGATCCTCTCTTCACCTTTAACTGATCCAGGAGACATTTTACAGTTAATACATAAAAAAAGTTTTTTCTGTCAATATGCTCTATCTAGAACTCCTCAAGTGGTAATATTTTAGTTTTACATCGTTTGATTTCATAAAAAAAATTCTTAATTATTAATCAATTCATTTGAAAAAATAAACAGAATAATCCATTTGCGAAATATTTAATTACTGTAAATATTTCTAAAATAATATATAATGTGTGTTTGCCTTTAATTTCAGCAGGTAAAAGACATTTTAGGTGGTAGTTTTGCACTTAAAATAAAGAGATTACGCACTTGAAATTAGGTAAAGGAGATTTAATTATTATTTTGAGCATAAATTATCTTATCTGAACAATTTTCTCACCAAACTCTTTAAAATAAAGGAAAAAACACGTTATTAAAAATGACTAATATTGCAGTTTTTGCAGTGCAGACAGCTGCAGCCTTATGTGCCAGGTAGAGATTCTATCATAGATCCTTCCAGCAGCTGGTAGATTATAACCACCACTACTCCCTATATGCTCCACCAGTTTTACACCTCTTCTGGTTTTATATTTGTCATGATGTCACAAAGTTCAGACCCAAATGCAGAAAACCGAACAGAGAGACCAGGGAAAAGGTTTAACGGGTTTTATTGAAGAAGTTTAGCAGAGGGAGAAGTGTTGCTCTGAACGCCGCTCATCCGGAACTGTAAAGTGAGGGGAAGACACAGCGGTTAGTTCAGGCTCAGTGGGGAATTAGCATCGTGAACTTGAGGAAGAGGATTTGGTTGCCTTGACTCCTGTCTGTGTGCCGTGGTTCCAGTGTTTGACTGATTTGGTGGAGGGCGGAACAGGGTTTACCCAGAATGCGGTTGAAAGTTGGTGAACGGAGAAACTGACTGCCACTCAGATTTCCTGCGGTACTTGAACGGGTCGTAGTGGAGATGAATCCCTTTCTCAGTGTGAAGCTCAAACGATCTCTTGAGGAAAGTGGATCCAAACCTCCTGTTTGAACCCCAGCTCAGTTTGAAGATCTGTTGATCCTTCCAGGGAGAGAAGGTCCGAGAGATCCAGTTTGCAGGATGACTTCCTGCCGAGAGGCAAAGACAAAAAACAGACAGGAGTCCTGACAATATTGTTTCAGTCTCATGTTAATATTTGTTTTTTTTAATGCACCTTTTTATATATATTTTATTTCAATCTTCAAACTCAGTTTTACTTTCCTGTTGACAGTATTGTACTTTTTTCTCTCTGTTATTCCTGCATTTTCATAATTTATACTCTATATTTGCAAACTTCCACTTCCAATCTATTCTATTTTTTTCTTTCTATGTTCTATAGTTTGCATATAAATAGTTACGTTTCTGACCGCTGATTTCCCTCCCCACCCACATCAGTTTAGTTTCATATCTTTCTAAAGTAACGTGTTGATTCTCCTCTGTTCACCAGACGTACCCCATGGTCCTGGAGTACCGGCCGCGCATCGACTTCGGCTGAGCAGCTGCTGCAGGAGGACACATGATCCACACATAAACACAAATGCATTCACACATGTGAACACACACACACATAACGCCTAAAAGTGCAGATAAAGAGAGATTTAGATGTATTTTTGTACAGCCGATGATGAAGTGCTTATGTTGTTGCGTTAAAAAGCCTTTATGCTCCATAGAATAATATATGCTATGATATATGCTATTTTTAAATGTATGTCCCTGTGCCTAAAGACCTGTTTGGAACGATCATATCTCTACTTTGCCTGTCAAACTAACTGTAGATTAAATGTTGATTTTCTACTGTGGGTTCCTGCTCTCCTCTAACTCTTTATTGGTCTTAGTTTTCCTTCCATGATTAATTAAATTAATATAGACCAGATAGCAGCTCCTTCAGACTATGAGCTCCATGGCAGCTCAGCTGCTCTCAGTCCAGACTTGATCATGTCCAAGAATGTTATTTAATAAAATAACTTTCATTCTGTCATACAGTTGTGCTTGAAAGTTTGCACACCTTCCTAATAAAGAAAATGATCAATTCCCTCTATTCAAGGAAAAGTCCGGATAGCAGGGAATAATCAATGGATTATTATTTATACCTCAAACTAATATGTTCGAGTTGATTTAATGAATTTGGCGTTAATCAGTTAAAAAATGAAAATAGTAATTTCCGTCTCAATCACTGAGTCTGGGAGCGGCCATTTTTGCCCAAATATAGTAGCCCCTCCCTCCTGCCATCTTCCAGCAGTGACGTCACGGTGCGGTAAGCCTAGCGCCATTCTCCCCGCTTTACAAGCTAAATCAATGGGAACTACTAGACACATCTGCAATCAACAACAATTATTGAAGATTTCCAGAGGACTTCACCATTGAAATTCACCAGAGCTATAGTGAAACTGACAATGCCCACGTGCATGGCAGCTGGATGCTGGAATACATCGGGTAAAAGTGGAAAAAAGAGTTATTCCACCTTTCTGATTCCTGATCCTCCACGGACGGGTTGGTCGTTGGATCGCCAACTTGAAGAGGGAGGATTTGCCATCGAACTTCTGGCCAGAGAAAAAACCCGTAATATGTAGCCAACATTTGGAAGAAGAATGTTTTCAAGATGACTTGGATAATAGCGCGTTGTGACAAACACCAGATACAGCACTGGGACTTGATCAACAGCCGATACCGCACCGTGACGTCACTAACCAGTAGGTGGCAGTAGTGTTCTTTGACAAACATGGATGCCTCCAGTAAAGCACATTCACATGAAAATTACTCTGAATTAAAAACACTGATCATTTATTGAACAGGATGGAATCATTTCAGATTTAAAGAACTTTCAGGAGTTTGGATTCTGAATATGAGCGACTTTTCTTTTAATCAAAATAACGAAAAACTAAGAGTAATGATAAATACAATTTTGTAAAATAAAATATTTGATTTTAAGTTTTGGTTTAAAAATATATACTTAAAAAGACAAACAAACTATCCTAGACAAATTAATCCCCATAAAACCAGACGTCATTTAGACGTTGGTTTTTAGGCTAAATCAGGTCACTGTCTCATAGTCTGGATTTAGTCCAGAAATAATCTGATAATTTCCCACTTTAATCCAACAAAGCAAAAAAGTAGATCTCAATAAGTCATTTATTCTTAAAATAAGTGCATTTTTTCTTGTATTGAGGAGGTAAGTGAGACACTTTGTCAATGGAAAAAGACAATTTACAGTTAAAATAGGAAAAAATAAGAAATGTGTCTAGTTTCAAGTTCCGATTAACTAATTAATCATCTTGTTTTAAGAGTAAACATCCTCATTCTATCGGCAGATTATCGTATTTTTACTCAAATTAAGGGTAAATACCCTTAATTTGAGACGTTTGTGTCTATATATATATATATCTTATAAATTATTAGTTTTGTCAATTTAAATTTATTTTCCTTTATTCAACTTTATGTGTTTATTATTCATATTATATAAGTTTTTTTCATAATTCTAAATTTGACTGAATATTAACAAAAAAACATCTTTTATTTTTTGTGCTAGAAAAAACTACCAAATACCATTGTGTGGTGGTATTTGCATACATTAAGGTAGGATAAATTACTAGAAATACGGAAGAGCTGAAAGGATATCAGAGAGGTCTGAGCAGGCGTATACAGCAGGATGCTGACTCCGCATCGCTTCTATTCAACTTGAACATTTCAGCCTCTCCACACTCTCACCTTTTATCACCCTTTGAGTAATTTATTTCCAGTTTAGAGATATTTAGGTCAGATGTCTCAGCTGGTTGTTCAGCAGAATAAAAAAATCTTCTCCATCATGGAGAGATTCCTCAGGCAGAGCTTCATGTGAGGAAAAGAGCATTTCTACATCAAGGATGTCCCATTTGAAGAGGCTACCACAGACCCAGAGCACTTTAGACGGATTCCTTCTGGACTGGAAAGACTTTAGGATCCAGGAGATGGAGATCGTCACTAGGGAGGCTGGTGCACTGATTTATCTTCCGTTCTCTTTGATATTTCAGCTTGCTGTCTTGTTTATGCTGATGATTAGTGTCAGGTCTAAGCACCTAAACATCATACATACATATAGGGAAAGAAAGAAAGACAGAGACAATTAATTTAGTTTTACTCGCGAGGAGAGCAGGAAGAGACTTTACAAATCTCCACCCCACTCTGCCGGTCTTCAGCTTTCTCTTCGCTATTTATTAAAGTCAGAGGGGGGGGGTCCCTAGTTGCACAAGCTGAGGTTGCGCTAAAGAATAGGGAACAAGAAATACAATTCAATTTGCAGCCTCAGTGAACAGGTCCATTTGTATTTAAATGTCTTGCGGTCAAATGGTTGGAGAAGCTCCTGGTTTGGTTAAGCTTGAGCAATACTTCCTCAGAGTTGAACTATACTGCTTGTGCAACACCTCTCTGGAACAGTAATATGTCACATATTATACATCATAAGAACAAACATTAAGTATCTTATACATAAATATTCCTACAATTAGACTTTTACAAGATATTTAGAATGTGTTTTAATATGTTCTCCTCTCTGAGCGTTATTATGCCATCCAAGGAATCTGGAGGAATCTCATAGATCAATCTGAGCTGGACCGCCATGACCTTTGATCCCTCAGAAAGAACGACCATTCATCAGCAGGTAGAACCACCTGGTTCCTTATGGAAAGCTTTAGCTGTGTAGCATTAACATCCTCTACGGTGCAGAAAGGAAGCTGGATTGTAACCTGAACACAGCCGCGTTGTGTGTTCTGCTCAGTCGGATCCATATTTTTTGGAAGAAGTAGAACAAAGAGAAAAATATCTAACAAAGTCCAATTTTTTCTCTTGAATTGTTTAAACCTGTTTAATGAAATTAATTGAAGTATATTTCCTCTGAGGGTTTCGGTGTGTGGACCTGGAGAGAAGCAGAAGCTTCGTGTATCTCTGGTTCCTGAAGTGGAACGATGGGTTTCAGCTTCTCTATAGAGGCTGTTTTCATACAACCAGCAGAATGAACTCGTTGTTTATCTGTTGTCAGAGCTGTTTATCAGTTCCTCTTCCCTTTAGTTCCTACAGGAACTGTTTGCACTTCCTGTTAGAGTCTTTATATTATGAATTATTTAACAGGAAACATGCAGCTGAATAGTAAAGATAAGAAACCCATTCCCCCATCCTGACCCCCTCCACCGGCTGGGGCTGACCAAAGCCCCAGCCGGTGGATGTGCTTGGTGTTTGGGGGTGGATGCTCGGGGCCCATGGCCGGTTCCACTTCGGGGTGGCTGGCTGCCAGCGGAGCCCGTGGGCTCGTCCCCGCGGATCCTGGGGGGCTTCAACATGGCGTGCGGCTGGGGGATTTGCTCTGGGCCGTCTCTCCTCTAGGGCACCTTTGCTCTGGGGGTCCCTTTGTGTTTCTGGGGTTATTGGCGTCAGCTGACCCAATACTATGCAGGGACAGATAATTAATTCAAGCACATGAGCAAATATTTTATAGCACTTATTTATTATTATAAAGCGTTATAAATTATACAATCAGATCATTATTTTCTGCATCGTTAAAAATCTACCTGAACCAAACTGAATTGAATTGGCCAACTTGTGAACTTCACTGTATATCTCTAATCCACTACTGAGGAAGTCACAATTTCATTAAATATCTGTCAGCAAACATGAACTTAATAAAACTGAAAACTTGAAACATGTAACTGTAAAAGGAAAAACCAAAAAATCTCCTCTACATGCATACATGCCTGTGTTTATCATTTCTATCTGGGCCCATCCTCTGATGGTGATGATCCTGTGAGGTGTGTATATCACGGCCAGAAAGATGGGGGAGCTGGATGTTCATTTTTGTAACGGTAAACGGTAGCGACTTGGCCTCATTTTTGCGAAGTGACAGGCTTAATTTGGAGAGTTCTTCTCTGAGCTCTGCTGTGAGAGCAGAAAATTAATTAATAAAAAACTCAGTGCCCCTCTGCCTAAATAGGGCTGATTGTCCAGAAGTCTTGTAGAGTGGAGATGACGGAAAGCAGTTTCCTCCCTACTCTAAACAAGGGTGAACACTGCAAAAACGATCTAGAAATAAGTACAATTTTCTTAAATTAAGTGCATTCACTCTAAATTTGAGTAGGTAAATGAGATAGTTTGCCAATGGAATGAGTATTTTTACTCTTAAAACAAGATAATTAGATAATATGCACTTGAAATAAGACAACGCAATTTTTTTTCTTATTTTAAGTGTAAATTGCCTTGTTCCATTGGCAAAATGTCTTTTTTACCTCCTAAATTCAAGAACAAATGCACTTATTTTAAGAAAAAAATTACTTATCAAGATTTAGATTTTTTGCAGTGAAGAGAGGTTCATGAGAGATCAGAATGAGTTCACACAGCTTCCTTAATGTTCTGAGTGTTTATCTGGCTAATATGTGTTGTGTTTTTTCTTGGAAATAACCAAATTTTCAAGTGTGAGAAAGTTCTTAATGCAGGGGGTGGGTTGGTTCCCCTGATGGGGGGAGAGTGTGTGATTTTATAAATATATCTAATGAAATGCTGCAGTCAGAGAGTTCTATCTCTCCGTCAGAGGAAGATAAATAAATCTGAACCTTATTTCTTGGAAGAAATGGCCCCCCCTTTGGCTTTCTAACTTCACAAGGTGCAAATAAATGATCACTACTTTTTTGTTCCTGTTGGTCACGTAACTCCTCCTCCACTGCACGGCGCCTGCGCCATCTTTGTTTTTAGTCGGCGCTGTCGGGTAGCGACAGCCTATGGCGACAGCGAATCCAATAATGCAGATATATCCCAGAATGCTTTGCGAGGGGAGCCCTCTGC